ACTAGAGACACGCTTCAACCCGGACATGCTGCTTTGGACCCCGAAGCGTCCAAAGCTTCTCCGGATCCAAAGCTCTGTCCGAAGCCTCACACAGCCCTAGCAGTAACCACTGCGCATTAATGAACACGTATACGCACCCACTGGCAGATACAAAACAAGACAAGCAAATAGGCTTAGAAGTTCTAAAATTATGAATATGTATGATTGGCATTTTGTGTGCACACACATGTATTTTACAGAATAATTTTTTTTAAGACAACTTAAAAACACTTTTGTGAAGAATACCTACTCCAATGTAAAAAATGTCTGGATTACAGAACCAGTTAACCAAGGCCTCAGTAGAGACAAAAAGACGGGGCTGCTGTTCTGAAGATATACAATCAGAATTAAGACCCGATAGTTTTGCCCAAAAAAATACACAAGTCACTTGAAATACATGTGGGGAATGGGGAGGAAAATCAACACTTCCATTCTAATGTAATAAAAGGCTTAGTACTTTCGTCTGTCCATCTGTAATGCTGGGGGCCAACTGCACATGTGCCCTGGAGAAGACTGGCGGCAATTGGCTACATGGGCCCCAACCCCTCAGGCAGAGAGCCGGAGGGAGCCCTTAGGCTTTAATAATATATTGATTTGCCCCTGGTTCCTGTCAAAGCTGACAGGAGACAGGGGTACTAGGACCTAGCAGGAACCTCAGCAGGATTGAGCAGCCCAGCCATTGTACTCCCTGCTGGATCCCCAGAGCCAACCTGGTAGGGCGTGTGTGGTTTGCGGGGAAGGGGGGGGAGGAGAGAGAGAGAGAGACACACACACACACACACACACACACACACAGAGTGTATGCGCGCCAGGGGCTGGGTGGGTTGGGGTTTGCAGCCAGGGTCAGAATGGGTGAGTGGTTGTGGGTGTGCAGCCAAGGGAAGAGTATGTGGGTAGGTGTGGGTTTTGGCGAGCAACCGCAGGCTGGGTGGGTGGGGATGTGCAGCCAGGGTCAGACAGTGAGTGAGTGAGTGAGTGAGCGAGCACACACATGCACACACACAGGCAGGAGCAGAGTGTGTGGGGGTGTGCATGTGTTCATAGGATGAGTCCCACACGCACATCCCACCATAACACACACACCCACACTTGCCTTGCACTGCCATACACACAGACCGTCACAAACCCCATACCTACCCACACCCCACATATGCACACACACACACACACACACACCTATAGCACCCCACAACATACAAGAGTAAGACTTCATTTTAAGCTGTTGTGCAATCATCTCTATGTACACTACAGAAATACATGTAAATCAGGACAAAAATATTTTTTTTAAATCAAATTAATGAATACTGTAGATGTTTCCTTTTTAGAATAGAATTTGATATTTTTCTGGTTCCAAGATGGCAAAACCCCTTGCTGAAAGGAGTACTTCTGGGAGCAAAGGTCAGAGGTTAGGGGGCAGGACTTCCAGTCACAAGATGGCGACCAGGGGGTGGGGCACCTGCCAAGGGGCAGAGCTCCTCATGCAGCTCTCGACAGCTTGCCAAAACTCTGTAAGTGGCCCTCCATCCAAAATAATTGCCCGCCCCTGGTTTACATGGCCAGCCCCAAAGGGGGGGTGTTACGGGGCCGCCCCAGAGGGGGGGGGGGGGGGGGGGGCATGTAAGCTCTCCCTGAAACACTCCATCATTCATGACGGGCAATTGGCTGGTACTCTTTATAACTACATACTTTCACCACTGGTGCAACTATCCACCAATAGATACCACTGCTTGCAAAAGTGAAACAGGCCAGGGAAATGGCATTAGTCTTATTAGCATGCAACTCTGGTTCTGTTTTTGTGAAATATGGCATCTTCCAATACAGCCTATTATATAAGAAGTGTCTCTGTTCAGTTAAACCACAGTTTATGCTGACACACAATTTTGTGCAAAAGCAGAACAGTTATGAAGTATTTCCTGCCAAAAATAAACACTCTTTTCTTGACTGGTTTAACAGCACAATTTTGCTTATGCATAAATCTTAACTGTGGCACTTTGTAGTTAAATGGGTCATGAAAAGATCGTTTTTCCTAACCTATTTAACTGCTTTCCAAGGTTTGTGCCAAATACCATCTGCTACTTTGTACAATGTGGTTTAAAGGAACAATTTTGACTGTCAATCTGTCTTTAATGCACGATGAGCCAACAGATGCTAAGAGTGCCCCAAGGGCTAGGCCTAAAGGCCTTGGGGATTAGGGAATGGCATTTCTATGCAGGTGAATCAGATTCAGTTTCTGGTCCTTGGCCTTGGCCTTTGCTTCCTGAACCAACAAGGACTGAAAACCCTGTGTAAAGCCATTCAATTGCCTACTGATTATCATTTGTTATGATCATGTTGCAAGCAAAATCTCAATCTCTTGACTCAGGGCTGGGTTTGCCAAGATGTGCTGTGGAAAAGGCATATTCAGACCCCATATTAAGGCAAAGAAGCAAAGAATATCTTGAACCATTTGATACCAGTTCTGGCTGACTACAGAACAACAATGAGGTAGTCCCAATCTTGTCCTCACAGACTGAAAGGTTGGCAAGGGGAAAAAGAAACAGAGAGCTCTGATGGAGATCTGGCAGTGTCCCCTGAGGAAATAGTATTTCACATTTAATGATCTTTCCCCTCTTTCTTCTAGAGTACATCTTGCAATAATGATGGTTTATGCAACTCTAGGGATGTAAGCTTTCTTCATCTTGATACTCTTTGCATCATAAAGTTATAATTAAAGAAACTGGCAGGCAGAAGCTGATATATCACTCCAAACTTACCACATATTAAGCATAGGATCTTCCTCCAGATGCAAAATGCTTACAAAGAATTTTGTATGAATTGCAGTAACTATTTCATGGATATTAACCATTATTTTCTAATTCCTGTATATCCTATATATTTTTCATAGATTTTATATAATAATTCCTGGCTACAACCCATTATGTATGCCACACAGAAACTTTATTTTATTTCCAGTTATATTTTAATTGTTTTGTTCAATGTATCAAAACAATGGCATTTATGTATCAATAGCACAGACATCCAAAAGCATTAGAAAAATCTTTAAAAACGATAACTAGAAAGTAACTATTCACCCATAACTGACATACTACTAGAGCCACTTCTGGGAACATAAAGTGCTTAAACTGTAAAACAATTGAATGCAACCCTGTGTAAGAGTACACAGACAAAGCCTGAACACAGCAGGAACAGACAGCCCAACATTAGTGGTACAAATCCATCAACTCATTGTTACTGCATGGTAGCATTGGAAAAAAAACATGCAACGACAGTACTGTGTAGTCATTTAGTACCTGCTTATGTAAGTACTAAATGACTGCGCAGTAACAACTGCGCAGTCCGCCACTCATGTAGATGTGGCCACAAGGATCCATTTTACCCCCCTTCTCTTTTATATACAAATGAGAATGTGGGAAGAGATCATGAGATGCCACAGGCTCGGCTGCCTACAAAATACTGAGGATACCCCTAGCTTTCCTCCTGCCAGTGCTCCTGTGGGGACCAAAAACCAGAGGTCCTTGGCTAGATGATCTTGCCCCTCCACTCAAGGTCAGATTGATTGCAATATTTGGGGTCAGGAAGGAATTATACCCCATGCTCAGATTGGTATGGATTGTACAGATTTTTGTCTTCCTTTGCAGTGGGTTCTAATCTTTGAAGCAATTAATGAATTACACACTGGATACATTAAAGATAGACTTTTAAATTCATGACTAGCCAAAACAATCACTCTCCTCTGAAACAATGTAGATTGTAAAGTCTAAAATGAAACATGCAAGAGCCAGGGGAAAAAAAATCAATTCTCAGACAGTGAGATCTAGTCATGAAGTGACCTTTCAAAAGACATTAAGTGAATTCAGAGTCTGATTGTTTTTAGGAAATGCTGGAGGAACCCCCCCCCCCCCCAAAAAAAAAAAAAAAAAAAAAAAAAAAAAAACACGATTGTTTTTAGGAAAATGTGGGGGAACCCCCCCCCCCCCAAAAAAAAAACACAAAACAAAACAAAACACACAGCCTTTGAAACTACTTTCCCCCTCACATTCATGATACTGGTACCCTCATCTACAGAAACAATTCCTCCCTCTCCACTCAAGCCCTTCCTCAATGAAAACAGAAACAAAACAAAATTACCAAACTTCAAACAGTGTACCCAGAAAAAGGAGAAGAATCCACTAGAGACTTCACTAGAACTAACAATTTTATACAACAGGCACTTAGATGCCATGATGGTGGGAAGCAGCATAAGACACTAGGACAAACAGAAACAAATGGGTAACTTCTCAAAATGAAGTAAGAGGAAAATATTTAGGAAGGGTGAATCAGTAATTATTCTCCTTGGAATCTGGTCCTCATCTCTCCTCTTTTAAACAAGTTCCATGGGATCTCTCTGTAACAACCATATCTGTCCTACAAGGTGCTGGGTACAAGGTGCTTTGCAACTCCAAAAGAAGATAATAGAAAGCAAATTTAGCATCTTGTAGAATCACACCTAATATCCAAACAGTATTGGGTCACCACTTAATTATATGGCAACAGAACACCTAGTAAAATCATCAGAACATCTGCATAAGCTGCTTGACAACTGCCAGAGAGAATACAGCACCATATTATAGACTGATAATATTCTATTTGATGGGGTGCACTAGGTAGCTTCAGTTGAACAAGCTGAAAGTTATAACAACCCTCAGAAGAACAGTAACACCCTGCTGCAATAAGATAGATTTCAGATTGAGACATTAAATTTCCAATAGACCATTTCAGTTTCAGCTGTTCTACCTGCTGAAGACTTTTACAGAGCAAGAGATATTATAGCCTTGTTTTCTAATGTAAACAGATCCTTCAACACAAGCATGCTTTTTATAGACTTACAGAAAATGTTTGATGATTGTGGAAGGTAAGAATCAATGTAAGGTTGTAAGTCACTAAAAAACTCCCACCACGGTCAAAACAGGAATGTACCTCACCTTTCAAGGCTGACTGTTCAGCCTGTGTATACATCCCCAGGAAGAAGTAAGTGCAGGCTAGGTTCACCCAGACATCAGGGTTGCAACCTGGTTGCTTGGTAAGAGCCTCATACTCCTGAAACAGAGAAGGTGTTTAAAAAATGGTGTCTGTGATACGACAAACATTTGACAGCAGGAAAAGTGCCATACAGGCACCACAATTTTATCTTTTTGATACCGGACAAAAATACAACCACATGATATAAATCAACTAACTCCTTCCAAGGTAAAAAGATAACCGAGTAGTAGGAACAACATTTGATTCCATTTAGAGTCTGATAGAGTATGTGCTACTGCTTCCTCCTACCCCCTCTACACAACATACTACTAAAAGTGACAATAAGGGCCTGCAGGAATATTTAAGGGCCTGGATATCCCCCATAGCAAGGACTAGAGGGGCAATAACACAACTACTTCCCTAACATTTACTGAGCCCCTAAAATACCTGATTATCAGTTCCTACTCCATATTACACAGTATCCTATGTGCTGTTCTGGACATCAGAAAACCCCACTAGATAAGAGAATCTAATAATTGCATAGTTATTATGGTTTCTGATAAGCACCTTTTATAACATCTGTATAGCATAATTTAACAAACTAAAATACAGGCATAAGAGAGAGTATTGGTCAACTCCAAAAACTCCATAATACTAAAAAGAAATAGAAAAAAGCTAAGTGTCAGAAGCTAATGCCTAATGATAGGCTTCTCCTTTAAAGATCTTTATGTATCAACCATAATTACAGAAAGCCACTGAATTTGCAGTATCTGACTCCTGATTTCCTTTTACATCTATGCTCATTCCACATACTTGAATGTTGCCATATATGCTGCTTTATTTTCTCACTAATTTCCACAGAATAAAAGTATATTTTGCTCTGCACTTTTACAAGATTACTTGTTAAATTTATTTTAGAGTATATTAGGCATTAAGTATTATGCTAGTGAAAAGTGCTGTTCTGATATCTCTGATGATAGGAATCTTTCATTCATAGACCATACAGCCCAGGCAACAGAAGGTATATGGATGCTCAAAGGGTAACAGCCGTTCTGAGCTAAATTCAATCATGAAGAAAACTGAAAAGCCTGTATCCTACTCCATCCACCATTAAAACTAGAACTCAGTTCCTGATGCTGCTTTTAGAGAAGAAAAAAAAAGGTGGAGGAAGGGATTAATTCAAATGTTTGCACTTCTTAAAAAACTGGACCAATAGCTTCACCTAGTGGTGAAACACAATGTAGACAGAGAAAAAAAAAAAATCAGGTAATTCAATTTCCCTAAGTCCTTTTGTAATTTCGCATCCCAAATTTAAAGATCTCTCTCAGCTTTCCTTCTAGAAACAAAAGTTTTACAAGGTACTGAACACAGATTGCACTTCAAAATAGAAAGCACTTTGGATTTTTTAATACAAGAGAGAACCTTCAGTTTATTTTACCATGTCTCTCCCTCTCCAAAAACAGTTACTTGCTGCATACAGCTAAAAAGGTTTTCAGTAGTCTCAAGTCCTTTAAATCCAACTCTAACATTTAAGATGATAAAGGTCACTTTGTAACTGAAAGCAACTGATCACGTAGGAAGGATGTGCCCTGATCAATGTTCTGGGACATGGGGAAGGCTAAATACCTTCAAAAGTCTTGAACACATACTCAGAGGTGCTCGGGAACGGAAATTCTACCTGAGACACAAATTTGGAAACCCTTTTAACATTGTATACATGAACAAGATTCACTGCAGTTAAACAACTACTTGTATAGGGGAAGAAATTGTCATAGATACATAATGTACTTCTTTTAAAGCATAAGATGAAGTCTTCCCCACTACCCCCATGATGTCTATTTTTAGAAATTCACTGCTTTATTACTTTTCCCCAGTATTAATGGAGATGTGAAAGTAGGAAGCTATGCAGACAAGTTAAAAGGCTGTGAAAACTCATCTCAGAATGACAGAAGGCCAGGTAGACAAGAAAAAGTAGACTAACGTTTCATCAGATGTCAAAAATAACAGACATATTGACACGCCTGATAGCAGAGTGTTTTCCAGTTTCAATGATCCCAGAATTGGCAGCAAATTCTACTTCCAAGGAGAAGAGGTGCAGAGAACAGGGGGATGACAATGGAGAGAAAAAGGCAGAACCATGGTGGAAGACACAGGTTGCCGTCTGACAAACATGCAATAAGTACCATATGATACAAGTACCTGGAAAACCTATGGATCATTCAAATAACCAATGTATTTTCAAAAAAAATCATGGTGGGAGGAGGTGGGAAGAGGGATGTTTTACTTATCTGTAAATTATCCAATTCCTGAGAATTTACAGAACAACACAGATAGTTCAAGAACTAGCAAGACTCACTTGTAAAAAAAGAGATTAAGCCTGTATAACAGTAGCGCTCAACCTTTTTCCTAGGCAGACTGAATGAGCAATGCCTGGTCCATGCACAGGCCAGATGTGACCAGTGGCCCTGATCCAGCACCCAGGGCAAGTGCAGCCCCATCTGGCTGTGTGGAAGGGGGAAAGGGGCATCTG